TTAGTGGTATGAAACAGAAATATATCCATATAGATTCAACAAAGTTATCTAACATAAAACAAGTGTAGAGTGCTACGCTGATGAAAATCTCAATGGGTAATAACATCAATCAGCAATGCCATCCACCACTCTGAAATGTGTCCATTTAAGTGTGGCACTGTCATTATGTGACACATGCATGCTGCCATTGCCTTTGTTGTCATCTTGTATTTCACAGTTTGCTGCACTTGCCAACAGAAGTTGCAATTTTATTATCTTGCACCTCTGTCATCACCACTCTGAAATCACAGTATTTACTGGTTCAGCTGGTGTCCCCACGTTAGTAAAAGAAAACCTACACAATTTAGATGTGTAGCACCCTTCTACTTTAACTAGGGGGGGGGCTAGACCCTGATGGCTAGAGAAGAGCAGATTAGCAGCTCAGGTGAGATAGTCAGAGGGGTCAAATTCTGGTCAGGAATGAGAGACTGCAGGCCAGTCCCTCTGGAAACTTCCCCTGCTCTGATGCTTTTGGAGGAGGGCCTTGGAGGCAGTGGATGGATCTGAGGAGTGGTTGGCTGCACTGTTGAGATACTTCAGGTAATCCCGAACAGGAGGCTTGGCAAGGGGCTGGACTCCCTTAAACGTGCTGGAGCCTGCTCAGTAGAAGGAGGGTGGTGGTGGTGGGGAGGAGTGAGACGCAGGAAAATGTGAGGCTGGAGGAGGAAGGCCACCAAGAGGCCTAGTGGGATGGGGCCTGCCTGCAAGCTTGGAGCTGGAAAGGAAGAAAACTCAGGACTTGCTGGCCCCCTGAGAGAGGGGCAGGAAAAGAGCAGCCCAGCTGATAGGCCTAGTAGCAGCAGCCAATCCACAAGTGGTACAGAAGAGGATGTGAGTGAGTACACTTGCACCCCCTGGGCGGATAGGGGAAGGAGCACTCTGGAGGGAAGCCAGATTAGCCCTTTGCTAGTAACTGTGCACCTTACTTAAGGGAAGAGGAGCCAGATCCCCTGCTCGGGAAGAAAACCTTCAGATTACTGGGTGAAGAGGAGTTCATCTAGGGCACAGGTGTCAAACTGGCGGCCCTTCAACTGTTGCCAAACTACAAGTCCCATGAGGCAATGAAAGATTGACAGTTACAAGCATGACTCCCAAAATTAGAGGCATGATGGGGCTTGTAGTTTCGCAACAGCTTGGAGGGCCACCAGTTTGACACCCCTGATCTAGGGTCTGGGCTAGCTATCCAACAGAGACTGTGTGTCAGAGAGAAGTGTCCCTTGAGGGTTAGGGACTGATGTGAATGTACAATATATATGTAAAGTGCTGCGTAAATGTACGGCGTTATATAAGTACCTGAAATAAATTAAATAAATAATCATACCGCTAGGGAGGTTGAACCATGATCTAAAATCGGCCTTTCTCAACCAGGGTGCCTTGAGGTTTCCTCAGGGGTGCCTTGGCAAAATGTCTAAAATTTGCCCAGAACTTGTATACTAGCCAGCGGGTGGAACAAGCCCGCCTTTTAGTTACACAAAGCCACAGGTTTTCATTGTGCTCCATTATGACCTTCTAGCCACAGGTGTCCTGACAACCAATGACATCATCAGTTGATAAGGAGGATGTTGGCTGCCTGCGCAGCATCCTAGTTTGACCCTTCCCCCGCCTCTCTCCATCAGTGCTGGGGTCACATTAGCTCAGTGATGGTGAAAAACTGAGGGAGAAGAGAAACACTGAAGTACTAGTCAGTACCAGTGTGCAAAAGTGTATTTGCGTTGGAAGAATAAATCCCCTCTAATGTTGGGTGTCCTACATGTGTGGGTGTTGCTGCGTTATATAAATCTATTAGAAGTTTTTCACATTTTAAAATGGGGTGCCCTTTTAAAATCGTGGACAGTCTTGAGGCACCCCATTTTAGAATGGGGTGCCTCAAGACTGTCCATAATGTTAAAGGGTGCCACTGGACTGTCCATAATTTTAAAGGGTTCCTTGACTGAAAAAAGGTTGAGAAACTCTTCTAAATCAGCAGTTGCGGTGCCTGTGACCGTGGAGTCTTACTTTGGTTGGAAGTGCGTGGGGTAGAGCTTGTCCAGGGGCCAGTGCATGGGAGCTCTTCTGGATTGTGTGAAGGACCAGTGGACTGGAAGGTTGTATTACCGTCTGGGTCAGTGCGTACTTTGCGAACTAAGAAACGATACATAATGAATTGCTAATATATTTTTGAGAAAGACAATGAGCTAGGGAATGTTCGCTAAATGAGGCACATTGCACTACATAGACTTTGTTGCACAACCACAGCACAGATCTCAATAATGGTAGTATCTATATTACAGAAAGCTGCAGTGAATCACTTCTAAATTTAGGGAGCAAGAGCTGGTATTACTCTTCAGGGTGAGGGTACAGATGGCACCAGGGGCGGACTGACCATTTGGAAACTCAGGCACTGCCCGAGGGCCCGGGGTCAGTAGGGGGCCCCATGAGATGCCCCTGGTACCTTTTTCATAGGCTCTTTTGAGTTTGGGCAAGGACACAGGGGCCCCATGATCCCCTATTGCCCGGGGGGCCCCATGAGTTGTCAGTCCACCCCTGGATGGCACTTCTTCTGCTCACCCACCATTACTAAAATACCCCACTCAGCCTGGTCACAGATCACTGAACTCCTCTATACACACAGCACATAAGCTGGAATCCATTACAGACAGTCTAAGCCTCAATCAGCACTGTGTGTGGCTGCTGCAGCTACGCTGTTGTTTTGACTTATGTCCGACAGGTAGGTCTGGGGGGGCAGAATCGGCATCGGGGGGGGGGGGGCACAACCCACTCCAGCACCCCCCTAGATTCGGCCATTCTCTGTTACCATTTCTTTTGAGAATCAAGTCACCCAATGTCAAAATTACTTTAGTAGTTCACACATAAAACATCCAACTAGAAACATGCAGAACAAAAAATATTGTTTTTTGTTTTGTATCGATTTTTTTAAATTACTCATTTTGTTTTGTTGAATTTGTAATTAAATCAATTTAGTTTATTTGTTTTTTTCCAGTGGATTTGAATGGAATCAAATTGATCTGAATTCATTGTGAAGAATAACTGGTTCTACTCGAATTTCAGAAGACAGTTATATTCATTCTATTCTATTTTTCTATTCTGTTCTTTTTATTCCTTTATTTTCTATTTTACTGTTTTACTCTATTCTGTTTTATTCTTTTAGACTTTTGGAAGACAGTTGTATTTTATTCTTACATAGTTAGTCTGGCTGAAAAAAAGTCTGTTCTTTTTTACGCTTTATTTTCTATTCCTTTTCTATTCTATTATTTTATATTCTATATCAAATCTATTTTATTCTTTTCTATTTTGTTCTATTCTATTCCTTTTATTTTCTATTTTATTACTTTATTTTCTATTTTATTCTGTTTTACTCTATTCAAATCTATTCTATTTTTTCTATTCTATTCCTTTATTTTCTGTTCTGTCCTTTTTATTTTCAGTCAGCAATATGTTAATATTTCAAATTTTGTTTTCTAATTTTGATTTTGAATCAAATTTCAAAACCGAAATCAAATTAGAAAACAAAAAAAGTTAGAATTTTGGTTGAAATTTTGTGTTTAAGATTTTTTAAATTCGTTACTATTGTAATTTGAAAACTCAGATACGTCTGAATCACCAAATAATGATAATTTAGTTCTTTTCTATTCTATTTTATTTCTTTTAGACTTTTGGAAGACAGTAGTTATTATTATTATTATACAGGATTTATATAGCGCCAACAGTTTTCTCAGCGCTTTACAATATAACAGGAGACAATACAGCAACAATACAGTTCATACAAGAGGGTTAGGAGGGCCCTGCTCCTTGGAGCTTACAATCTAAGATGGAGGGGCTAGTGGTAGAGAAGGCAGTAACTGTGGGGGATGGAGTGGTTGGAAGAGTAGAAGATTCCAGTATTAGCTGAGGGCAAGGATAGGCTTCCCTGAAGAGTGAGGTTTTCAGAGATCGCCTAAAAGTGGGCAGAGTAGGTGATAGTTTGATAAATTGGGATAGAGAGTTCCAGAGGATGGGGGAAGCTCTGGAGAAGTTCTGGAGACAAGCATGGGAGGAGGAGACAAGGGAGCTAGAGAGTAGGAGGTCTTGTGAGGAGCGGCGAGTACGGTTTGGGTGATATTTAGAGACACAAGATCGTTGTATAGTTGTATTCTATTCTTACATAGTTATAGTTAGTCTGGCTGAAAAAAAAGACAAAAGTCCATCCAGACTCTAGTCTATTCTTCTAAATTCTATTTTATTCTCTTCTGTTTTACGTTTTATTTTCTATTCCTTTTCTATTCTATTTTATTCTATTATTTTATATTCTATTCAAATCTATTTTATTCTTTTCTATCCTGTTCTATTCTATTCCTTTATTTTCTATTTTATTCTGTTTTACTCTATTCAAATCTATTCTATTCCTTTTATTTTCTGTTCTGTCCTTTTTATTTTCAGTCAGCAATATTAATATTTCAAATTTTGTTTTCTAATTTTTTTTTTGTTTTCTAATTTGATTTCGGTTTTGAAATTCGATTCAAAATCAATTAGAATTTTGGATGAAATTTTGTGTTTAAGATTTGTTTAAATTTGTTACTATTGTAATTCGAAAACTCAGATACATCCGAATCATAGAATAATGAGAATTGAATCTGAATTTAAATGTTTTAAATTTAGAACAAAACGAACCACACATATCTGCACCCAACATGCTTCTGGGGGAGGGGGGAGGGAGGAGGGACTCGCCAAACATAAGGGCTTATGATATAATCAGAACTTGTATTGACTCAGGAAAGGGTTATCCTGTATCTGTATAGCTAGAATGTTACTGGATCAGGAGAGTCAGTAGCCAGTAATGCCAGTGTTAAGCATCACTACATATATACAGTGTGTGTATTTATGTATGTGTGTGTGTATATATATGTGTGTGTGTGTGTGTGTGTGTGTGTGTGTGTATATATATATAAATTCCTCGCTCACTTACCCGCATTTTGTCTTTCCAGGCATTAAGCGGCAGCACTGCACGTACAATTCAGGTAAGAACCTCCTTTATTTTTAATTAGAAACAGGCTTTGCTCATCATATATCATACCGGAGATTGCTGGCCAGAATGTGAAACACAATTTTTTGCATTGCGAAATAAAAGATGTGAAGTGGCGGCATTTCAAGACACAGGTTAGAATTGGTTAGATTAGTGCATCTTCATTTATAGGAAACAAAAAAAGTGGATGACTGCACTCCAATAGAACGGACTTCTTTATTGAGACATATCCATAAACCTGGAACAGCCAGTGGTGTATTTAGGTTTCATACTGCCCTAGGCAACACAAAAATTGGTTCCTTCCCATGGAGAGACCATGACACCAGCCAACTCCACCCTTCCCCACAAAGAGAGCCTGACATTGACCAACAACACCCCAGCCCTGCCCCCACTTGAGAGAGCCTTTCACTGCCACTGCCCCCCATACACTGGCAACCCCCCCCACCCCAGCAAGACACTCATCTTTACAGCTCCCCAGGAACAAGAGTCAAGCTCTGCATACACCATCAATCAACCTGCAGCCTTTCTGAGATGCCACCTGGTCCCCGTGCTGTGTGTGTCCCTGCTGCCTTTCATTCTTTCAGGGGACGGCACTGCCCCCCCGAAAAATGCCGCCCTAGGCAACTGCCTTCTTTGCCTTGTGGTAAATACACCCCTGGGTACAGCTGGGCAAGTGCGGATCGGCCTGCACTGGTATTACATGTGTTTTTTATTATACTGAATTATACAATTTTTTCCATTTAACTGACTTTAGAAGGAATTCACAAAAGCTTTAACATAAGGATAAGGATCTTTATTTAAGCCAAGACAGTTATTTTTTTTAAATAAGCACACTTATTCTGGTGTTCAATCTTTGAATTTAGCCTATTTTGTACAGAATAAAGGAAACCTCTTTGAGTCTACACATAAAAGCTATTGTTAATGCATTTATCAATTAATCTGGCAAACGGTTTCATTTACATGGGACCTGCTGTCCTGCACTGCCGAGCCATACCTGCCTGTCTTGAACTTACCAGTTATTTCAGCTATGGTGGAGAAGGAGGATCAGGACTGACAAGGTATTTTTTAATGTACCTCATATAACCAGATCAGGCAGTTATGGGCCCCCCTAGGAGTTTTGGGCCCTGGGCAGCCATTCTAATCTGCTCAAATGTGGGCATGTCACTGGGTAAGACAATCAATAGCAGACTCTCTCAGAATTTTCACCCCAGAGGAACCCTTAAAAAAATTTTCACATTTCAGGGAACCTCTGTTAAACCGAATTAATTGGAGGACAGCTGACAAATGCCCCTTACATTGGTGGCCAATTAGAAGAATGCCCCTTACATTAGTGGCCAATTAGATCAATGCCCCTTACATTGGTGGCCAATTAGATCAATGCCCCTTACATTGGTGGCCAATTAGATCAACGCCCCTTACATTGGTGGCCAAATAGATCAATGCTCCTTACATTGGTGGCCAATTAGAAGAATGCCCCTTACATTAGTGGCCAATTAGATCAATGCCCCTTACATTGGTGGCCAATTAGATCAATGCCCCTTACATTGGTGGCCAATTAGATCAATGCCCCTTACATTGGTGGCCAATTAGATCAATGCCCCTTACATTGGTGGCCAAATAGATCAATGCCCCTTACATTGGTGGCCAAATAGATCAATGCTCCTTACATTGGTGGCCAATTAGAAGAATGCCCCTTACATTAGTGGCCAATTAGATCAATGCCCCTTACATTGGTGGCCAAATAGATCAATTCTCCTTACATTGGTGGCCAATTAGATCAATGCCCCTTACATTGGTGGCTAAATAGATCAATGTCGGTCAGTAACCCGAATATGACCAGAGATGTGTGGACTGACACAGCTGGGGTCATACACAGGAGATCAAGCATGGGGTGCAAGAGGGAAGACAGGACACGGAGCTGATCACAGGAGTAGGTAACCAGTAGCAGGTTCAGGGAAACTGGATAACACAGGCTCATGGGAAAACAAACACCAAGGCACTGATTACAGGCCTGATTCCTGTTTAAGTACACCTCCTGCAATCAGCCTCAGGTGATGGCTTGATTGCAGGAGGTGAGATCCTGGCTGCTGAAAGGCACTCGCTGGTATGTCCCGGTACTGCAGCCCATAGAGCAGGTGAGCCACAGTGTGGGGAGCCCTTTCCTGACAATGCCCCTTACATTGGTTGCCAATTAGATCAATGCCCCTTACATTGGTAGCCAAGGTAAGAGAATGCCCCTTAATGTGGTTCTCAGACAGCTAAAATGATCTGTGCTGGTAAGTAGCTGACTTTGCCGATTGGTGTTGACCCTGCAACTATGCAGGCACCATCAAATGGAAGGGTCAATAAGTCACAGATCAAAGAACTCCTAGCAACCTCTAGAGGAACTCTAGGGTTCCATGAAACTCTGGTTGATGATGGCTCTATAAAGGTTCTGTTCCTAGGAATTTGTACACCAGGGAGGACGGTGCTTTACACTACCTGGTTTGGTGAGGTTGGAGGAGCCACATAAATATGAATCAATGTACATATTCGCCAACATACCAAGGATCTTCAAATGTTGTCCCAAACGTTTATTACAGAAAGATTACATCACATCAGAAAAGTGCAACGTTTTGGAGCTGAAAAGGACTCCATCAAGACAAAGGGGTCCTGCACAGCTCCGAAAATTTGCACTTTTGAGATGTGATCTTTCTGCAATAAAGGTTTGGGACAACATTTGAAGATCATTAGTGTGCTGGTGAATATGTGCAGTAATCCATGATGTTTCCATCACCCAGCTGGTAGTCACTGCAGCACCCACTACTGATGAGCCCTTTTTCCAGGAACATGTGCAATGGGAATATAGACAACATAGATATGAATGACATTCATAAATATTGGGGACGTACAAGGAATCTGCACTGCCTCCACATTGATGGATGGTAATATATCAGGTTGGGCATTTACAGTTACCAAGAGTAAAACACTGGATCCTACAATGGAATACGAACCTCCGCTCTAAAGTCTGGTGACTTTTAAACTGAATTTTTACTTATTTTGCTAAAATGATGTGAAACAAGGTGAAACTTTTGTAAGGAACACCCAACCACATACAAGGAAAATTCTAAAAAAATTATTTTTGCTTGGGTATTCTTTGCCAAGCAAATTTTTATCTCATGCACTGAGATAAGTGAACATTCCTCTAGATGGAGCGGATTGCAGAAAAGAAAATTGTTCTACTCCCCATCAACACAGTCAGTCACTCGGAGCTATTGTGTTCACCCAACTCGGGGGTCGGGGAAGTCGTCCTCATTGAGAAAAACACAGTGATTACTGCTAGCTGCTATAATAGCCACTAGCAATAATCACATATAAATTCCGACAGGCTGGTTGTACCCAAGATGATCGATAGATCAACTTGGGTAAATTCAGCCTGGCCATACATGGTTTGAACCTTCTATGGCCGGCTTTAGGGATCAATCCTAGTGTGTGTAGCTTTCCATTCCTTTGTTTTATTTTGTTATACTTTTTGTCTTTCAGCCGCAGCAACACTAAAGAACAGTATTGAGGTGACAGCGTCTCTGCTGGTTGTATTTTGCATTGTCCTCACATCATTTGTGAATGGCCTTGTTAGCTGAAGTTACACTATGGAATTTGGAGTTGTTATGCAATGCAGATGAAGAAATTCTTTGGACTGAATAAACATATAATGCAAATGAATGATGAATGTTTTGGGGTCAAATCTGCTACAGGCTATTCCCAGGGGTGTGATTATGCAGGATATCCATGCTGTACAGCCCCTGTGTGGCTGTGTGTGAGAAGCCTAATACTGTAGCTGCTGTGTTTTTACACAGCAACACCCGGCTGTCATTTTGACTGTTGGGAATTGCTGGCAAGTGCAAGGAAGGGGGAGGGAGAGCAGGATGTACTACACACGCCCTGTGTATTTCCATGAGATTCTCTGGACATTTGTAGCATGCCCAGTGTCTGGTTACAAGTACAATCAATGATTCTCAAGAATCACATAAGAGGCTTGATGGATAACATTTTTTTTTTTTACCTATTGAAGATCAGCTTTTAGCAGCTCTTCATTAGGAAAACAATTCTGTGTTTTAATTAATCTTTATGGATACATGTATGACATTTAGTTTGATCTGGGTATCATGACCAGTTGTATCTATTAAATATCCTGTTTTCACTTGTGGTTCATCCTTTGTTTATATCCCAGGGGTTCTGACCATTTGGAAACCCGGGCACTGCCCAAGGGCCCAGGGTCAGTAGGGGGCCCCATGAGATGCCCCTGGTACCTTTTTCATAGGCTTTTTTGAGTTTGGGCAAGGACACAGGGGCCCCATAATCCCTTATTGCCCGGGGACCCCATGAGTTGTCAGTCCGCCCCTGGTGGTTCTGCTGATGGCTGCCTGGTATTTCTCAGAGCAGCTTATCTGATGGTGACAACAGCAGACCATGGTGCACAAGTGGGAGACTGGGACAGCGCTGTCACCCTATAACAGGTTACATAACAAAAGATGAGGTAATGTAGAGTAAATACTGTAGATACCAAACGTGTCAAACTTCAAAACTGGATGTGAAAAATCATGGTGCCAAAAATTATCAATAGGTGGCACTTTAACTACTTGGTGACCACATACTGTGACAGAGCAGGCTTGCTGCACCGGATTGTGTACATGTATGTGATCCGGCTCTTCCAGGTAGAGTGTGTATGCCACCCCAGCTGTGCTGACATTTGCTCCAGCAAATGCCAACAGGGGGTCCTGTTGATTTATGATTTATGCCTGGGAACCGCTGAGCAATTGACAGAAAAGAGCCCTGTGTTGATAAACCACACAGGGCTCTCTACAGACTGCGGTGGGGTGCATTTTTTTCTTCCCTGTGAAGCAGGGTGTAAAAACCAGCACATTGCTTAGGAAAAACAACACACAGTACACACATAAACATTCTTAGGCCCAAAGTTGACCCTTTGATTGTTCCTAAATGTTAACCCCCTTCCAAGCCTGTGTCAGTACAGTGATAATGCATATTATTAGCACTGATCACTGTATTGGTGTCATTGGAGATGTCAGTGTCAGATTGCCCACTGCACTATCGCAGGCCCACTATAAGTCGCTGAACGCCGCCATTACTAGTAAAAAAAAATTCCAGTATATATACCATCGTTTGTAAACCAATTAATATACACTTATTAGGATTTTCTTTTTTACCAAAGACATCTTTAATCTCTCCCTCTCTTCCGGCACATTCCCCTCCACTCGGAAGCATGCGCACATCACTCCCATACTTTAAAAGCCCTCCCTGGACCCCAATGACCCGAACAACCTCAGACCCATCTCCCTGCTCCCATTCCCATCCAAACTCCACAAGTGCTTAGTCTACAATCGCCTAAGCTCTCACCTCAACGACAACAACCTCCTCGATCCCCTCCAGTCCGGCTTCCATCCTCTACACTCTACCGAAACTGCCTTACTCAAACTCTCCAACAACCTCCTAACCGCCAAAGCTAACGCCCACTATTCAGTGCTCCTACTCCTTGACCTCTCCGTGGCCTTCCACAGTCGACCACCCCCTCCTCCTCAAAAAAAAAACTACACACTCTCGGCCTCAGAGATTCCGCTCTCTCCTGGCTCTCGTTTTACCTATCACAACGATCCTTCAGCGTTACCTATATAACTCTACCACCTCCCCTTCACTCCCCCTCTCTGGTGGGGTCCCTCAGGGCTCCGTCCTCGGGCCCCTTCTATTCTCCATCTACTCCTCCTCCCTTGGCCAACTCATACACTCTCACGGCTTCAACTACCACCTATATTCCGACGACACGCAAATCTATCTCTCAAACCCTCGCCTCACCCCCGCAATCACCGCCCGAGTCACAAACCTACTAAACGACATATCAGATTGGATGTCTCTCCACTTCCTTAAACTGAACCTCTCCAAAACTGAGCTCCTAGTCTCCCCCCCAGCATGCATACCACCCCCTACTGACTTCTCCATCACGTCCAACAATGCCACTATCAGGCCCGCCCCGCAGGCCAGAGTACTTGGGGTCATTCTAGACTCCAACCTATCCTTCCAGCCCCAAGTCGAATCACTAACTAACTCTTGCAGACTCCACCTCCGCAACATCGCCAAAATCCGCACTTTCCTAACCCCAAAAACCACTAAACAGCTCATCCACTCCCTCATCATATCACGACTCGATTACTGCAACTCCCTCCTCACTGGCCTGCCTCGCCGCTGGCTATCCCCGCTTCAGTCCATCCTGAATATGGCAGCCAGACTCATTCACCTTACCAACCGCTCCGTTTCCACCACCCCCCTCTGCCAATCCCTCCACTGGCTTCCGATTGCACAACGGATCAAATTTTAAATCTTAACACTGACGTACAAAGCTGTCCACCATACTGCCTCGAACTACATCACTGACCTAATATCCAAGTACCACCCAGCACGCACACTCCGCTCCTCACAAGACCTCCTTCTCTCTAGTTCCCTGGTCTCCTCCTCCCATGCCCGCCTCCAGGACTTCTCCACTCAGTCTGATGGATTGGGTAGGGAGTTCCAGAGTATATCACCTACTCTCTTCTCATTTAGGTGCACCCTGAAAACCCACCTCTTCAGGGAAGCCTACCCCACCCCCTGCTACCTGCCGATCTCCTCCACTCTTCCAACCACTCCATCCCCCACAGCTATCTCCTCCTGTACCACTATCCCCTCCCTTCTAGATTGTAAACTCGAAAGAGCAGGGCCCTCGAACCCTTTGTGTATCGCATTGTATTGTTATTGTTTTGTCACATGTTCTGTCCCCCTTTGTAATGTACAGCGCTGAGCGAACTATTGGCGCTTTATAAATACTGTATAATAATAATAATAATGTTGCAGAATACATTTTGGCCTAAATTTATTTTATTGGAAATGTTTTATAGCAGAAAGTAAAAAATATATATTTTTTTTTTTTCAAAATTTCTGGTCTTTTTTTGTTTATATTGCAATAAAATAAAAAAGTGGTGATCAAATGCCACCAAATGAAAGCTCTATTTGTGTGAAAAAAAAAATCCTCGATTTCATTTGGATAAATCGTTGCATGACCGAGCAATCGGCAGTTAAATTAGCACCATGCCAAATAGCAAAAAATAGCCTGGTCATAAAGGGGGTAAAACCTTCCGGAGCCTAATTGCCTTCACAACTCTTCATTTTAGAATAAAGCGTAAATGATGGCCCTAGAACTATTGCTATGACTGATGTTTGCTCTGCCGCAGTGATACATAACATGTGGTGCAATTGGGGTTTACATACTGTGTGTGAATTTGCATTTGCAGGTGTGTGCAGGGTGACGGGGTTTATATTTTTTATTGGATTTATTTTTTTTACTTTTTACTTTTTTTTTCCCCTTGCATTTAACTTACTTGTTGTTACAAAGGGGATGTAATAGCATTGGACAGTTGACAGGTGCTCTTTATGGAGTCATCAGGGGTCTTGTAGACCCCTTTAGGAGGGCCACACCACTGTAAAAATGGACTGTAAAATTGATTTTACGGCTTTATAGCAACCCAGATCACTTTTACTAGACAGTTGGGAAGAAATACAAGTGCATGGCTACAACTACAGCCCTACGCTTTTTTTTTTTTCACACTGCAATCTCTGTTGTTCCTGTAACACCCACCCTGATGCCCATATCAAAAACTATAGCAGGCAAGCATTGTCTATAGTAGCCCTGGTTCCCCTGAAGACATGTAGGTATAATGCTATAGTTCTAAGCTTGACAACACTGAGAATGAGTGAAGGTAAAAGAAAATGATACCTGTACTCTTAAGGCAGATCAGGCTGGATCTATAGTGCTGCAGGAGCTTGTCCTTATGAATCTCCAGTGACTGGTGTTGGTCTAGACAGGCAGTAGTTGGTAGTGTTATCCCAAGACAGTTCGAGGTTGGGGCAGCGAACAGCAAGTGTGGTCCAGAAACAGTTCAGAGGTCAGGGCTGGCAGCAGATATGCACAATCTAGAAAAGAGGTCTGAGAGCAAGGCTAGCGGCAATCCAGGAGAGTATTCCATTTTCCAAGCAGGGGGCAGCAACAGGAGAATCGAATGATTAGGCTAAATGGGTAAGGACAACATGGTAAGACAGAGCAGAAAGCCATACAGGCAGGTGCAGTTAGCCACTTTGCCACTAGGTGGCTCTGTGTCAGACTAGTGTAAGGTACAGCAGGTAGTAACATTAGGCATTAGGCCCCTTTTAGGTAGCGCCCTCCTACAGGTAACATCAGGCTTGAGTCAGCACCCATATATACTCACTAGCCTCTTTATTAGGTACATCTGTTCAATTGCTTGGTAACATAAATTGCTAATCAGCCAATAAGATGGCAGCAACTCAATGCATTTAGGCATCTAGATGTGGTGAAGACAACTTTTTGAAGTTCAAACTGAGCATCAGAATAGAAACGAAAAGGGATTTAAGTGATTTCGAACATGGCATGGTTGTTGGTGCCAGATGGGCTGGTCTGATTATTTAAAAAACTGCTGAACTACTGGGATTTTCACGCACAACCGTCTCTAGGGTTTACAGAGAATGGTTAGAAAATGAGAAATATCCAGTGAGCGGCAGTTGTGTGGATGAAAATGCCTTG